GTGTACACCACTGTGGATAGCTAAGGATAATAGTCCTTTCGAGTCAATGTACATTTTCATATATTCTTGGTAAATTAAATCCCTTAGAACTGGAGCCATGTGGATGCTAAGGAACTAAACCTGCCTCTTGCAAGAGCAGCCAATGCCCCAAACCATCTCTCTAACCCCTATTTATCCTGTTTTTAAAACTACATCTTTGGGGTCTAGAAAATTGGCTTCGTAGTGAAGAACACTTCTCTTACAGAGGACCTGGGTTCAATTCCCAGCGCCCACACAGCAGCTCACAGCCAGCTCCAACTGTAGCCCAGGCCGTCTGATGTCCTCTTCTGACATCTAAGGGTAGCAGACACGCACGTGGTGCACATACACGCAAAGCACTGTACACATAAAATTAATCTAAGTTACTTTAATGGTGGTTTGATTGGCTGCTTTGGTTGTTTTGTTGAGTTTTTGATTTGGGGGTTGATAACCCAGGCTGGCCTCAAACTTGCAGTAATCCTTCCTTCCTCAGCTTTCCAAGTGCTCGGATTACAAGTGTAAACCACCATGGCTGATAGCTAAGAATAATAGTCCTTTTAATTCAGTGTGTATTTTCACATATTCTTGGTAGATTAAATATATTGGTATTCCCTTCTAAACAGCGAAAGCGTGTGTGTGTGTTTTTGTGTGTGTGTGGTGTTTAACCCTGTCTGTTTTTCAGTTCATATAATTCAAGGAGCCACTTTGCCTTATTGGAAGTGTAGGCTATCTTGAATATTTTGGACAAGTTCTGTCTCCTTAGGTGGAAATAATATGAGGAAATGGCTGACTCTTCCTTTCTGCCTGTGTAACTTTAAAATAAAATTCAAATTTCTAGGTGAATTTTGTCAGGAGTAAGTATTCCCTTTGTAAAGGTTACATTGGTCTTGTAGGTGGCCTTCTAAAATTCAGTTTCATTTTATAATCGTGCATGCCTTGGCTCCATGCCCGACCTCCCAGGTTACAGACATTAACAGTAGACCTCACTCGTTAAGGAAATAACACCTCCCTCAAAAACAACGCCTAGAAAACATCGCTAAGTTCCTAACAAGTCACCAAGCCATGTTCACGCTGGACTATAGTAACTTGTGAAGTTAATAGAGACTCAATCTTAAAACCCACCCCACTATTTATAAAGATATCTACCCAAGTTGCAAATGAAGAGCAATGTTGTTTTCTGTTATTTCAAAGAAGAGGTGTTAGGAATAGTCTACTTGTTTGTTTGATTTAGTCTGTTTAATGTAGAGGTTAAAAAATAAGGCATATAAGGTACCTTTAATCTCAACACTCTGGAGGCAGAGGCATAGGGATGTCTGAGTTCAAGGCCAGCCTGGTCTACATAATGAGATCCTATCTCAAACAAACAAACAAACAAAAAAAGCAGGGGCAAAAGCACCTGTATGCAGAGTATCAATTAACACCAAAATTTTACTAAATTTGATAAACTTTCTGTTTTGGAAGATAATTATATATCAAATAACACATTAAACTTAAACTATCTATAATTATTGTACCAAATACAGAAATGACTAAGCCTGACAAAGATTTTCACAAAATCCAGAATGACCATAATTCTGTTGTTCTGTGTAAGAAGGTGAGAGCTTGGAGGGAATTGTGTGACTTAATTAAGCAAGAATAAAACGGAAAGAAGGGAAAGAGGGTGGGAAGAAAAGGCTAGGGAGGTCTGAATTGCAGGCAGGAAGCTATGCTCAAGATCAAAGGAGAAGCATAGAGGCGTAGAGAGGGCCCCCAGTGGAGCAGATGGTATGTGTAAGGCAGTGATTTTCAGATTACATTTTGAGGAGTTCCCACAGAGGCTGGTCTGCAAGGAACATCCTCAAGCACGATGGTGCGGCAGATCCGCTACAGAGTCACCTGCTAGGACATGGAACATGCTGGGGCTGGCCAAAATGTCAGCTGGCCAGGATGGCATGAGCTCTGGGTATTACTGGCCATGAGATTATTTGTTGCTGTGTATTGTATTTAGAGGGTAGGGAGAGAGAGTGCATGTATCACAATGAGAGTATGGAGGTCAGAGGACAACTTCTACCATGTGTGTTCTGGGGATTGCATCCAGGTCATCAGACTTGGTAACAAATGCCTTTACCTGTTACACTTACCTTTGCAGCACTGACAATGAGACTGAAAATAAAGTAGGGAAATAGGTTCATCTATCTCAACAAGGAAGAGCCAACAGGCCTTGGCACAGATTGGATGGTCTAGGGGCAGGAGGTGACAGGCCCATGCAAAGAGAGAAACCAGGCATGCCGCATTGAGTTCCAGTCCACTGATACTGGATTACATGGCAGTGTGAAAGAGACCGCCTGGATGGTGTGTAGGATCTAAAGAGAAGTTGTGCGTGTGTGACTATGTAAAATACAGCTGTGGTGGGTGATTACAGGAATGTTCCTTGTGTGCACAGTGAGGCCCTGGGAACTGGGTTCTGCTTTACCCTTGGACAGTATTCAACTTTGTAGAAGAACTGATGTTAAACTGAAAGCCCTCAGCTCTGTGGCACAGCTATTCCAGACCCAGAGACTGGCAGTCAGTTCTGGTAGGTGGCAATCACAGGGTCCCGTTGCCAGGTAAGGCAAGGATTATCTGTAGCTTTCAGTTGCTGAAGATAAAATTCCCAGCAGGAGAGAACTTGTTTCTCTTCTGACCTGGGGACATAGAGCCACAAACCAAGGCCTGAGGAAACCACCAGGAAAGCACCATCTCAAAGTAAATACATATAAAATAAAAGCTGTGAGCCAGGGAACTAAAAATAGAGATGTAAATATTTACTCAGTGAAAGAAAGATTCATCAGCTGAGACTATAGCTCAGCGATGGAGCACTGCAAAAGGCCCCAGGTTCACAAGGAAAAGAAAGAAAGGCCGGCTGGAGCTTGGCTTTTACAGAGGACCCAGGTTGGGTTTCCAGCTCCCAAGTCAGGTGGCCCACTACCGCCTATAACTCCAGCTCCAGAGATCCTGGTGCCTTTTCGTGACTTGAGTGGGCACCTTTGCTTATGTACACCTACACACATACGCACACACTTAAAAATAAATCATTAAAAAGAAAGAAAAATAGGGCTGTCTCAGCCAGGCATAATAACACATGTCTGTCTAATACCGATTGGGATTTAGAGGCAGAGGCAGAAGATTGCAAGCTCAAGGCCAATCTGGGCTACAGAGCAAGACCTCCATCTTAGGGAACAAGACAAAAATTTTACAGTGGTAAAATCTACCAGAACTGCAAACTGATCAAGGTTAACACACACACTTGATTATTTCTGTTGCTAATATGTGTCCTAGATATACTGTGATAACAGTGGTACCTGGCAAATCGTGAGAACATCAAATTTGAATAGAGACACAGTGACTTGACCAGTACTCAAAACTGTCATAGTGATCAGAGAAAATATGAACTATACAGGCCAAAGAGAGCTGTGAAGATGTGTGAGTGCAGTGTGTTGTACTGTGTGAGAGCCTGGAGCAGAGGAAATGAAGGAGTTGGGTGAAAATGAAGGAAGCCTGGGCCAAGGTGACAGTACATGTTCCCAATGTAAGCTAGTAATGGAGGACGGAGAATGGGATATATAGAAATCATCTGAGTACTTTTTAACTTTATTGTAAAACTTACCTCTAAGATAAAAGGGCTATTTAAAATAATACAGCTAACACCGGGTGGGGTGGAACATTTCTTAAATAGCAGAGTTGGGGATCTCTCAGTTGGAGACCAGCCAGGGCTACACAGAGAAATCATGTCTGGATGGAGGGAAATACTTGTAAACAATTGGAAAAAAAAAATCAGATTTACTGCCTGGCATAACATTTCCTTCCTAGCCAGGTGGTGGTGGCACACGCCTTTAATCTCAGCACTCAGGAGGCAGAGGCAGGCAGAGCTCTGAGTTAAAGGTTAGCCTAATCTACAGAGTTCCAGGACAGCCATGGCTACACAGAGAAACCCTGCCTCAAAATAAACAAACAAACAAACAAACAAATAAATAAATAAATAAATATAAAATTTACTAGTACTCAGGATATTATTTCATTATTATTATTTTATTTATCTGGCATAATTTTTAATCACATATGATTTGAATATGTAAGAAAATGAAATGAAACCCTCTGGAGGTATTTTGAATTAGGCAAAAAGCTACTCTAGGAAGTGTAATGTCAGAGAACCATTTTGCCACGGTGTTGTACGGAATGCCAAATCTCAGATAGTAACCTCCGCTTGTAAACATCATGGGAATTTTCGACACTGGGAATGACACCATTGAGTGATAGTTGAGGACATACATCCCATCTGGAGCACAAATATTAACTGTAAGGCTTTTTCTGTCCTGATGTATCTGTCTATTTTTCCTCATCTGTTTACTAGTCAAGTCCTGTTGGCGATTTAAAGTAATTTATTTGATATGTATTTGAGAATTTCATATACGTACAATGTCTTTTGATCCTAACAGCCTGCACTTCTCCCTCTTGATTCCTCCGAGATCCACCCCCCTGTGCTTAGTTATCTTCATGTATACCACAGTTAGTATTGAGTACGGCCTCACAGTTCTGTCATATACAAAACCCAATGCTGCTCAAGCAGGTGCTTTGAAGTGTGAAGAATTTTTTTTTTACCATGATAGTGTCTGTATGTGTGTGTGCTGAGTTTGCTAGCTGCAGATTAAAAAATAGGATCTCTGTATAATAACAAGCACAAAACATTTTTTGGTAATATGAAAAAATACTTTAAAAGTGTTTTGTTTCAAAAAGCAACTATTTTTTTCTTTCTTTTTTTTTTTTTTTTTCATCATGAAGCTGTTACCTAAAGCATCAAAATGGTCTTTTTGTTCAAAAATGTGTTTTTAGTTTGCTTCTCAGGGTAGACTTGGTTTCTGTGTGACTTTGCAGACATGAATTTGCCATCATCACGTGTTTCTTGTGTTAAATCTTGAGCTGCTGCAAGTACCCCGGTATTGAACTAACCCACTCTTTCCTTTCAGGCTGCTGTTTGGAATGCTCTATCCGGCTTACTACTCATACAAAGCTGTGAAGACGAAAAATGTCAAGGAATATGTAAGTAGTTACCGTAATTCTCATTTAGTGTGTCAACACAAACCTTGAGAAGCCAATGCTGTCCTAGAGAATTTGATTGAGTTTTCTGGTCAAAAGGTGATGTGAGTATTGTCATAAAAATAATCATTTGTTTTAACTGACTTTGAAAACAACTGACAATAAAACTTCAAATAGCCTTCACTGGCCATTGGCACTGGAAGTGGTGTAGCTTTCCCAAGAGGAGTGATGGAGAGCTCCTCATAGTCTGGTCACAGCCGACTTAGGTCCAAGTACCTGCTGGTGGAGAGGGTTTGTCTAGCTTTTGAAAAGGGTTGTGAATCTTGGTGTAGCTTTCTATTTTGATGGAGTACATTTTGAAAGAGTAACAAATGTGTATCTTGGGCATTGAATCAGGAAGGAAGAACTGTGGCTTTTTTTTTTTTTTTTTTTTTTTGGTTACACTCAGGAGCCAGGCTATCCATTTCAAAATGAGCAATCCGGTCGCACTTACTTAGTACTTTCACGGTGATTATGCAGACAGCCCACACCATCTCCTTCCAGCCCTTCCAGTCTACACTGACACCCACCCCATTAGGCAGCCACAGCTCCCTCTCCCCTCCCTCCCTGGAGATGTCCCCTAAACAGAATCTTGTAATGAGTGACCTTTTGTGTTTGGCTTTCCTCGCCTGCCGTGATGTGTTCTCTAGGCTCATCCATGTTTTCACAAATTTCAGTGTTCCATTCCTCTGGCTGGAATAGTGCTTCATTGTGTTGGTAAGCCAAACAATGGGTTGGTTATCTGCTCATCTGCTGACAGACATTTGAATTGTTCTGCTTCTGTCATTTTGTCTGTTATGAATAATGCTGGCACAAACATGCTCATGCGAGCATCTGTTTAAGTGCCTGTTTTGAGCTCTTGGAGGTGAATAACTGTGGTTCTTTGTAAGGAACCTTGGATGGCAGGCTTGTCGTCCGGCCCATCAAGTGATCACAAAGATCAGAAATCCAGTCCTGATTCTTGAGAGTTTCTTTTCAGCTATTTGAGGTTGCATGGAGCCACTGACTAGAACTTTTGTAATTAATCTATTGGACTTTAATAGCTATTTTTCTCTTTTATATAAGGCCAATTTGTGTAATGAAGTATGTGTACACATAGACCCACACACCTCAGTTATAATGGTGAAATAACATTTATGAGAGGTGCTCTGGAATTTATAAATCCTTTATGATACAGATCTCTTGGATCTAGGATTGGGAAAATAGTCTTAAGACATGGAAGCATATTAGGTCATACTAATTTAAATTCTTTTTATAAGTAGCTTGAAGGGACATATTTCAGTATATACTGTAATAAATATTTCAAGTACCGTGTTATAGTACTGGTGTATGTTGCTTTTTAAAACAAGTTGCTTTCCATTTACAGTATTTTTCAAGCTGCCTGTGGTGAAAGACGTGTTTGGTTAGGTTTGTTTTCTGTTTTGTAGTCCTGGGGAAGCAATTTTGTTAGGTTTCTCCTAGAGGTCATTTGCCATCGCTTTTGTAAAAATAAAATGAAAATGAACCACTAGTAAAACAAAGATGCAAAACCTCTCCAGAGACATGGGAAGTATACCACCAAATATTTGTTTCTATAGACGTGAAATACTATCAACTTAGTGCTTTTCGTAAAATACTGTTAATTTAATGCTTTTGGGCTTACTATAAGTGCCACAGCCTTGCACAGTTCCCTAGACAACTCTACTCTACTGTGAAATTCTTTACTTGGAATTCTCTTTCCAATGCTAAAAAGTAGGAATAACCCATCATCTTTAAAATGACATGAAAATCTGGGCCATGGAATATACTACTAGCCAGAGCTTAATAAATCTGAAAATGTTTTTGTGGTGTGTATTCAATGGATCTTTTTCTGATTCTAGTTAACTGTACAGTTGAACTAGGTGGTATGTCTTTCAGCTATGGGCTCATATCCCCATTAAAGCATGCCAGGGCCAGGTATGTGATTTCAGTCATAGCCCTCCAGAGGATAAGACAGGAGAACCAGTGAATACTTGAAGTTAGCCTGGACTACAGAATGAAGCGATCTTGTCCCAAATAGAAAATAGACAGGGCATCAGACAGATAGATAGACACCCTGTCCCAGATAAATAGCTTGACAAGTAGACAGGCGGGTAAATAGATAGATAGATAGATAGATAGATAGATAGATAGATAGATAGATAGATAGATAGAACAGACAGACAGACACTCTGTCTCAGATAGATAGGTAGGTAAAAGATGGATGGATAGATAGATAGATAGATAGATAGATAGATAGATAGATAGATAGATAGATAGACAGATAGATAGACAGACAGATAGATAAAATAACCAAGCTGAGTGGACAGCAGTAAGAATGGGAGAGTGTAAAGTAGAGATAAATTACCTGTATGTATACAGAATGCTGGAAAGGGGCTATTTAGAGGTTGGTCTAATTATAACACAAAGATTAGTCCTTTTACTATGCATCAGGGTTTTTTTGTTGTTGTTGTTGTTTTTGTGTTGTTGTTGTTGTTACATTTTTCTTCTCTTTTAGAGACCTGGTCTCAATAGCTTCACCTGGCCTCTAACTCACTATGAAACCAGCTGGGGTGACCTTGAATACCTCATCCTCTATATTCCAAGTGCTGGGATCAAAAGCATGTCCTACCATGCCCAGCTCCACTTGAAGACATAAGTTTACATGTTTTATTCCTGTAACAAGACACTCAGATGCTTATTATTGGATTGTTTGAAAATGTAAAACAATTGAACATCACATGCTTCTGAGATTTGAATTCTCCCTTATGTGCTAAAAATAACTAAGCCTGCATAAGAGAATCCATTAACATTCAAATTGAAAAATGAAATACATGTATTGATAGCTACACACATGTTGACAAACTAGTGTGTTTAAATATGTAGTGTGTTGTTTTACTGGTTTTTAACAACTCAATACCCTTCTTTTGCAATTCTTGGAACTGAATCCAAGGCCTTGCCTAATTCTAGGCAAATGACCTACACTCCTAATTCTTACACAGTTGTTTTGAAGGGGATTTTTTGTTATTAATAATTTTTCATTGTTTGCTTGGATTTTTTGTTTTGTTTTTTGGGTTTGTTTTGGTTTTGGTTTGTTTGGTTTGTTGAGTTTTTTGTTTTGTTTTGTTTTGTTTTGTTTTGTTTTGTTTTGTTTTGTTTGAGACAGGGTTTCTCTATGTAGCCTTGGCTGTCCTGGAACTTACTCTGTTAACCAGGCTGACCTCAAACTCAGAGATCTACCTGCCTCTGCCTCCTGAGTACTGGGATTAAAGCCACCACTGCCTGGCTATTTGTAGTTTTGCTATGATACTATGATAACAACAATAACAAAACACCAGTTTTCCTAACCGTCTTTTGGGGAGGATCATAGTAGTGAAGAATGATTGACGAGAAACTAGGGAAGTAGAAAGGTGTAGCTAGAGCTGCTTTGATTATTGATTGCTGTGTAACCAAGTCTGCTTTGAACGTACAGTGAACGCTAAAAATCAAAGATAAACAGGCACTCAGCCAGAGAGGAATACAATGCAGCCCTGAAGACCAGTCATCCACTTGTCTAATGGCAAAACTCTGAAAAGCCAAGTTTGAGGTGTTGTGCGTGTTCCCTGGAGCAATGCATGTGTATTTAATTATTCTCCAGGAATTTCAGAATACGTTTGCAAATTACCATGTCTAGTTGCTCTTCTCCCAGTCACCACGCTATTCTAGATGGAAAGCCACAAAATATTTCATCTCAAACATCCCTAGAGTTCAAAGATGTAAAATGGGTCTACCTGGCTGCGTTCCCTCTAGAGGCTCCAGTCTGATGGAAGAGTGGTATCATTCAGAGTTGGAAGCGGCCCACATTTCTTGGCTCCAGGCTCAATCCCTTTGTCTTTACAGCCAACAGCTCAGGGCTAAGATCTTTAGATGCTGCCAGGATTGGCTTTTAGCCTTCCCCCTCCCTCCTCCTTTTGTAAGGTCCTTTATGAATGACTGGGTCCACCCCTCAAGGTTGTCTGATTCTTGGCCTTAATTCCATTTGCCTCCTTATTTTCTCTTTATCATATAACCTAATATACTTACTTTCTAGGAATTAAAACATGGATCTATTCCAGGGAAAGGAGGCAGGATTCTGCCGACCCCATATCCCCACTCATCCTTATTGTCCATTCACCCGTGAGGACCCTTGCAAGACAGCATTGGTCCACACCGTAGCGCTAAGGTTTTTAATGTTCGGTTCATTCTGTTCTACAATGTCCCCCCTTTTACTGTTTTTGTTTTTGAGATAGGGTTTCTTTGTGTAGCTCTGGCTATCCTGGAACTTTCTGTGTACACCCATCTGCCTCTGCCTCCCAAGTGCTGGGATCAAAGACATGTACCACCACACCCAGCCCCAACAATGCTCCTGTTAACAACAAAGGTGATGGGGCTGGAGAGATGGCTCAGTGGTTTAGAGCACTTGGCTCTTGCAAAGGACCTCACTTCTGTTCCCAACAGCCACCTGGTAGCTCCCATCCCTAATTCCAGGGCATCTGATAGCTTTTTCTGAACTCCAAGAGCACCAGGCATGCATATGTGCACATACAGACAGACAGAACATTCATATACATAAAGAAATGTAAATTAATCTTTGGTGGGGGGAATCCAAGACAGGGTTTCTTTGCGTAGGCTTGGCTGTCCAGCTCACAGAGATCTTCCTGCCTCTGCTTCCCTGAGTGCTGGGATTACAGGCATGAACCACTATGCCCAGGTGTAAATTAATCTTTAAAAAAATTAACATAGGTGATACTCTAGCTTCACAGAAACATGGAGGCAGCTTTCACTGCCAGCCAGTAAACAGTCTTGTGATTGATTACATTTTGCTGGCCGTGATGATTTGGCTGTTTTCTATCAAGACCCCCTAAGTTCCCAAAGCAACTGTGAACTGAGAGGTTAAAAAAATTAGATAGGGCAGGGCATCGATGTTGGCACACACCTTTGACCCCAGG